TGATACACTCATTATTTTACTAATTTGTTTGTCCTTGTTCTGATTCATATTTCAATAAAGTTAAAAAAAATAGCACAGTCAGTAGCTACTTCTTAGTCAGCTCAGGACACTGGCGTAGTAACACGGTCACTCGGCTGAGAAAAAAACAGCGACAAACTGAACAATCACCATCATGCTAACGTGTAAATGTTTATTTTTTTCCAGACCAGATGACGACTCGTGCCTTTTCCTCTATACTTTCCATGCTCTGTGACTGCAGCAGTACTAACCCACTGACAACTATCTGACAGAACATCACCTCCAACAGGACCAGGTCATCCCTTTCAGCTGTTTTTGGAAGGTGTGGTACACAATGTGCTGCTTGCTCCTGATGAAAGTCCCAGAAGCAGCAGTGCCAGGTTGCGCTCCATCAGCCATTGTTCCAACAGTGCTATGATGGGGGGTTCCACAGTTGGTTGCTGTAGCAACCTTTCAGCATAGCTCGGCCTGCTTCTCCTCCATTAGCGGCGATCATCAGCATCACTGGAGGAGCATCATTAGCAGGGGAGGCCCCCGAGGCGGTGTGATCGATGCCTGAGTGGGGCAGGGCAAGGCGCAGAGGAGTGCAGACAGAAGAGTTGGCCTTTATCACCTGCTGAGAGCAAGCAGGCTGAGCCAGGAAGCTTGTTTCTTAGGCAACAACAAAGCCTCTGCTTCACTAATCCCTCCACTGTGGTTGTGTCACAACACGTAAGGATTGTATCATCCTTGGTGCCAGGCGCTGGTGTTCAAATGGCTCCTCTGAAATGCTCCAGGGCTGGATTTTTTTTAAATGTTTCTCCATGATTCTGTGCAAATACAGGAGCAATAAGAGGGCGTAAAGGCCCTGTTGGAGTAAACACGTGCATGGTGGGAGGCATGTATGATGACTGCAAATAAAGATGCAGAAAAAAGAAGCTGCTGTCGTAGGATGGGGGAGGATTACAACGCCCTCACTGTGCAGCTGTAAATGTGTCACTCTCAGTTCATCTGGTTTGACATCAAAGCCCCAAACACGCTGCATTTGTTTGCTTGCTCGGGCAAAACGCTGCAGTTGTCTCCACCTTCACCTGCTGTAAAAACGTTTGAGTGAGAGGCGAGCCACGGAAAGCTGGGAGCTGTTCACAGCATTCACAGCTTTGTGGAGCTGTAGTGACGTTTGGACTGAAGTGGTGTGATTCACTCTGAGCTCCCACAGTTGATCTGTCTCACACATTGTACAGGTGTAAAGGACTATTAAGAGACTGGCTTTTTAGTATTTTTTATTATTTTTTTAAGTTCTGCACTAACTTTCCCTGCATGAGCGAGTACCATGTTGGTCTGGCCATCTGCTCGTCTCGGAGCCCTCTCTTCCACCTCACCTCCCCTGTCTCAGCCGTTCAGCTGAGAACATGGACTGACCACAGAGTGTCGTCGAACAGAAGAGACCCGGGGTGTGCACCGAGGAGCAGATGGGACATTTTCACTAAGCTGGAAAATCCAAGAGTGGCAGAGGCCTTTACCAGAGAGCCGGAGTGACCGACAGTGATGAGACAGTGACCCCGTGTGATCGAAGAAGACAGCTGCATGGGATGTACTTATTTTTTATTTCAGTTGAGTAAACGAGCAGATAAATGACTTCATTGTTAATGACTGCAACTGCTTCTAGGATTTTTAATGGTGGCAAAGTAACATGTTCTTTAAAAAAAGGAACATCAACTGAAAAATCCAGACCTGTTTAGTTTTACGGGAAAATGGCCCAATTTAAGAACTTTTTTTAAGAATTAACATAGTTTTATTTATAAAGCACCAATTCATAAATAGAGAATGTACATTTCCTTTGAAAATGATATGTGAATTCTAAATGCTGAACGATGTTTGCTGAATAGCTAAAAAAAAGCTGAAACTGGCCAAACAACTACTAAAAACAGCTGAAATTAGCAAAAAAAAATTAGAAAGAGAAAGAGAATGTTTACTTAATTAAGCTGTGAGAAGCAGGAATGATCACAAGAAGGTTTTTATTCAGCTGAAACTAGCTAAAAACAGAAAAACAGCTGAAATTATCAGAAAACAACTGAAAGAGACATAAAGGCTTTAAATAGCAGAAAGAAGCACAAAAATAGAAATTAAAGAAAGGTATAAAAGGTAAGAATAATAGTTAAAACAAACAGTGGGAAAGAACTAAGAAAAATAGAAGCCAGAGGAAGCTGGAATTAGTACAGGAGCTGAAAAAGGTAGAATTAAAACAAAAGGTAAAAAGTACAGTAAAGAGTTATGGATATTTAAAGGTTTTAAGGATGTTGAATTCAGTTCTATTCATTTTCAATGAAAGAAACATGGCAGAAACAGCTAAATATCTCAAAAAGTATAAATTGCTTAAGTACCAAATATTACAGTGATGTCCTGAAAGAGCTGAATGTTTTGATAAAGTGTTTTGTGAAATGAGACAAGTGCCAGAAAACATACAAAAGGAAAAAATGGTCTCAAGAATTCCTGTTAAAGAAAAGCCAAGTTAGAGCCAATGAAAACTCAAGAGATTTGACCCCCCCCCCCAAAAAAAAAAAAGTTTTATTTTATAATTGTTAGAGACCCAACTTTTGCTTGGTATTCATTTTTAATGTTCTCTAGCTACTTGGGGTTCTTGGTAAAAGAAATAACTATCTGACAAAAGTAATAAATAAAAACTTTATAAAAATGGGCAAATGAAAATCAAACATTGCTTTTCAACAGAATTGTTTTAAATAAAAATCATGAAACAGGCCTGGTCAGTAATGATTTAACATTTTGTTGCACAACCTTTTAGGCAATCACTGTGTATCAAATGATTCCTGTAACTGTCAGTGAGACTTCTGCACTTCTCAGCAGATATTTTGTTCCACTCCTCATGAATAAACGGCTCCAGYTGTCTCAGGTTTGAAGGGTGTATTTTCCAGACTGCATGTTTCAGCTCCTTCCAAGGATGCTCAATAGGATTTAGGTCAGGGTTCATAGAAGACCATGTCAGAGCAGTCTAATGTTTTCCTTAATCATTCTTGGGTGTTTTTAGCTGTTTTGGGTCATTATCATGTTGTAAGACCCATGACCTACAACTGAGACCAAGCTTTATAACACTGGGCAGCCCATTTCTCTCCAGAATCCCTTGATAGTCTTGAGATTCCATTGTACCCTGCACAGATTCAAGACACCCTGTGCCAGATGCAGCAAAGCAGGCCCAGAACATAACAGAGCCTCCTGCATGTTTCACAGTGTTCTTTCCTTCATWTGGTCCATTTTTCTGTCTGTGAACATTGAGCTGATGTTCCTCACCAAGAAGTACCATTTTTGTCTCATCTGTCTACAGGACATTCTCCCAGAAGCTTTATTCTTATCAACATGTAGTTTGGCAAATTCCAGTCTGGCTTTTTTATGATTTGGTGTCCTCCTTGGTCGTCTGCCATTAAGTCCACTTTGCCTCAAATGACGATGGATGGTGAGATCTGACACGGATGTTCCTGAGCTTGAAGTTCACCTTTAATCACTTTAGAAGTTTTTCTGGGTTCTTTTGTCACCCTTTATATTAGCCGTCTTTTTGATTTGTCATCAATTTTACTCCTGTTACATCAATTCATTGTTGAACTGTTTCAACTTTTTAAAAAGACCTGATCCATGTGAAGCCATGCTTTTTTTTTTTTAGAGGAGATGAAAAAATCTGCAAAACTGTAGAGGTAGCAAAAGCAATATACAGTATACCCCTACTATAAGTGTATTTCTATTTTACTCCTTTTTTTAAATAATTTTTAGTGATTTAGTATTTGTCAGTCTTACCAAAGCATATATCTGTAATGATCCTGTTGACTAATTAACTTCTGTTTGATATTATAGTTAGGTAGTTTATGGAAGAAAATTGTGTGGAGTAATTGTAATAAATAAATAAATAAATAAATAAATAACAGATGTATCAATGTGTGGTCATGTTGGGGTGAAATGGATACCATGTGTGGGAGAAGTGAGTTCAAATCCTGAGTGTTTTTGTAAACTCTATAAACTGTAGCAAAATGCTTAAAACAATACACATAATTACTAAACTTTTATTTATAGGTCATATATTTAATTGGTCAAAACAATAATCAACAATAAGCTCCAGGTTTATATAAATAAGATCTGAGCTGCTTCACAGAGCAGCACCAGTCTTCATCACATGCCATATCATCATCATCATCATCATCATATACAGTATTTTATGAAGGCACAACCATATTTTACTGTAATATTTTATTATTGTTCTTGAAAGAAAATAGTCATTTTTCTAAATCCGTGTAGAAGCTTTATTATACAGAACAGAGGCTCACTGGTTCATGACAGCTGTAATGTTAAAGGTTGGCCAGCAGATGGAGCAACATTAAGTGTATCCATGGAGGTACAGTATATGTAACAGGGTTCTTATTCAAGTCTACCAATGTATCATATGCTTCGAAACACTGATGGCAGCAGGTTTATAATTATCAAGGGGACTGAGCTCAGCTGCTTCACAGTGAGTGTGGTGAGGGAGTAGCCACTGATTGAGAAAGGCCGCGTCATTTCAGCATTATTGCTTCATATTGATTCAGAAAACCTCAGTTTATCCATCACTATGTGCAACTGTAAACACAGGAACATCAAGCTGCTTGGAGATGGTCTTATAACCTTTACCTTTAACATGCTTATCTATAAATTTCTTTCTAATCTCCTGAGACAACTGTTTCCTCTGGTCCATGTTGAGTGTGGTCCACACCATGTCACCAAACAGCACAGTGAGTATCTGTAGCCCTATATACAGGCCCACTGACTGATTACAGGGTTGTAGACACCTGTGATAATTAGTGAACACACCTTGATTTAACATGACCCTAGCTTCAGATCCCACAGAGAAGATAGGCACAGCTGCTCTATAACTGCTCCCAAATAACTCCAGCTTTGTGTGAAATTAAAAATAAAAACACAACTGTGTGGTGAAACCAAGAGAGGAACTATAAGAACTCACAGGATTTCAAAGTACTTACAACATTTTAATGAAAGGAAAAGATGAATTTGTGTATAAAAACAAAACACTTTATTACAATTAGGCTGAAAAGTCCAATGAAAACACAACTACTTTACAAGTACAAATGTTTTTGTTGATATTTACAAGTGTTCTTTTTTTTTCTGATGCCAATAAAAWTTTTTATGAGTAAACACAAAATACTAAAGTACATGTTTACAGTGTATTTACCAAAATGATAGAAAAACAGCTAAAGCAACGTGCATTGTTTTCCACTTAAATATCTAAAGGACAGAATGGGACATGGAGACTATTTATGAACACACTTATATGAATGGAGAATGACTCAGTCCTCAGGAATCAGTTCCCATTAGTCAGGACTGCAGTGTATGATGGGCAGTCTCTGCTGGGATTCTTTTAAAATTGTGATATTCAGAAACAAAAGGGGGATACAAAGCTTTGATTCAGAGACATGTTTTGGATCAACAGAGGTGGATCCTGACTGATCTGAACACATTTCAGTACAAACAGGAAAAAAGGATCAATCTGAAATCAGGTTTGTAGTTAACGCAGCCAGTGTGTTCAGGCTGTGGAACACTTCCTCCTAGCTGCTCCCCCCGCTGGGTTTAGCCGGCGTTTTAGCTCGGACGCCTCCTTGGCGAGCCTGGTTCTTGGTGGGTTGTTGGGTCTGAGCGGCCTGCTGTGCCGGCGACTCGGCAGCAGAGGGGGCAGCGGGCTGCTGAGCGGGGCTGTGCAGGGGCGGAGTCTGGATCTGGGGGGAGGGGGCGGCTGTCACCACCTGCTGCTGGATGATCTTCTGCTGCACCACCTGGGCCGCGGCCGTCCCAGCAGGGATCATCTGCACCTGAGCAGGGCTGGAGGTGACGGCCTGGGTCAGAGTCACAGTCTGGGGCTGCGCCTGGATCTGAAGACAAACCAGATGGAAATGTGTTTTTCTCMTGTTTAAAACTTGATGTGTATGTATGTTTTGTCCTCTTAGCTACTAACAAAGCTTCACTTCATATAAAGTGATTCAATGACACATTCCAGGTTCCTGACTAGAGCTCTGACCTGCTGAGGAGAGGACACGATCTGTTGGATGTTAGCCACAGCTGGCTGAACCATTTGTGGGAGTTTAGCCGCCTGAAAGGAGCAGTAAACAAGAAAATCTCATACCAGCAAACAAATCCACTGATAAATACTGTTTGTCTGGTGTCACAGGTAGCCTACCTGGATTTGTTGGGTTGTGGTGGTTTTTTGGGTCTGAGCGATGGACGTGGTGGTGTAGAACTGGGGTTTGATTGCTTGTTGGAGTTGTGTGGTGGTAGCATAGGTCACCTTCTGCTGCTGAGCTGTCTGCGCTGCCTGCATCGTTACCTGCTGAGGAGCAATTTAAAGAAAAAATAATTAAAAATGTAGTACATTCAACACTTAATTAAGTATTCAGACTGAACTAACACTTTAATTACAAAGGTATGAGTGTGGTGCAAGGCATTTAAAAATAAATTAAAAACAAAGGGGATACAAATTACATCTGTTCTTTTCTAGACTTTTAATTTGAAAGAACTAAACTAATAGGTAGTAATCATAATCACCTATTAAAACTTTATTTAGACAAATAAATTCTAAAATACTTGTTCATGTTTTTCAGAAACCCATCTTATTAAGATAAATAATTCATTATTTACCTACCGTATTTATTAGTGTATAATACGATCTCATGTATAATACGACCCCCCCCCCTCTTTTTGAGCTTAAAAAACATAAAAAATTTAATCCTCAAACTACCTCCAATTTCATACAGACTTCAAGATTTTTCAGCCTTTTCAGTCTTTATACACATCAGTAAAATGATCATTGGACTGTTCATTTTATTTTAACAATATATGTACTAAATGGTATTTTGACAACTAATACACTCACCGGCCACTTTATTAGGTACACCACGCTAGTAACGGGTTGGACCCCCTTTTGCCTTCAGAACTGCCTCAATTCTTCGTGGCATA